CAATGATGGTAAGATGATGTTATGGGGTAGGACTAGATAAGTCTAACTTCTTCCTACTCCGTTCAAGCATGTATTAGGTATAAGCAAATTGATAATGCATTTGTGGATATGTGTGAAATTATGTGTGTTGACATATTGACTGTCGTTACATGTTTGAAAGAATAAATCAAATACAAATACAAAATAAGGCCCCTGCACAGTATGCCTAGCCACTGTTTGCCAAGAAACAGATACAGAACACAACTCCCTGTTAAACTACAGCTTGTCCGTTGTATACAAATTAAACATACTGACTGTACGAGATAGAAGGTTTTAGCTTTAAAGTTGCTGGTAGGTGTGGTTTTTTTTTTTTTTTTACTTTCTGAGAGACAAGCTAGCTGTGTTTTTCCAGTCTTTATGCTAAGCTAAGCTCATTTAAAGTTGAGAGAAAGACTAGAGTACCTTTTTTTCTTACTGAAAAGTAAACTGCTCAAAAAATTAAGGGAACACTTGCTCATCACACTATAACACCAAGTCAGTTAAACTTCAGGGCTATTAATCTGTCCGTTTAGGAAGCACAAGTGATTGTGAATCTGTTTCACCTGCTTTAGTGCAGATGAAAATGACAACAGGTGCAGTGGAGAGGCAAAAGCAAGACAACCCATGAGGATGGCATGAAGGCCCGATTTCCTCTAGTATGACCTGTGCTCATAGCCTAGCGCCGTGTAGCTTGACTGGCATTCACCAGAGAATACCAGAATTGGTAGGTCTGCCACTGGCAGGCCGTTCTCTTCACAGATGAGAGCAGGTTCACACTGAGCACATGTGAAAGGCGTGAAAAAGTCTGGAGACGCCATAGTCAACATTATGCTGCCTCTAACATCATCGGGCCGTGGTGGGCCAGTAATGGCCTGGGGAGGCCACACAGACCTCCATGTCCCTGACTACTGTGAGAGACCAGAATGAAATCCTCAGAGCAACTGTCAGACCTTATGCTGGTGCAGTGGGCCCTGGGTTCATGTGGCCACAGTGTGTAGGCAGTTCCTGGATGATGAAGATATATGCCATTGGCTGGCCCTCACATTCCCCTGACCTAAATCCAATTGAACACCTATGGGACATTATGTATCGGTGCATCCGATGCCACCAAGTACCACCACAGACTGTGCTCCCTGATGCCCTGATCCAGGTCTTGGAGGAGATCCCTCACAACAACCTCCACGAACTCATCAGGAGCATGCCCAGACATTGTCAGGAGTGCATACAGGCACACAGGGGCCACAAGCCCTTCTGAGTCACACTATGCGCTGCCATGATGAAATTCACATTACTTGGGTGATCCTGTGATTTCAGTTTTTCACTTTTTTTTCAGTGTGATTTTAAATATGGCCTTCCATGGGTTGATGATTTTGGTTTCCACTAACCAATATGTCATTTTGTTTTGAACAAATTATGTTCATTAGTAAAGGTTTACAACTTGACTGATTCATTCATCTAGATCCGAGGAGTGATATAAGTGTTCCCTTAATTTTTATGAGCAGAGTATATTCCTAACTTTCTTTTATTTGTTGGTGTGATACTATTCAACTGCGGTACCTTATATTCTCTCTCTGTGGAGAGACTTACCAAAAAGTCAGTTACTAAATTTGTATAACAAAAAATACAATTATTGGCTCATAAATATGCATGAAAAGGAGATAATTAGATTACCGCTAAAAAAACAAAGTATCTCTAAATGGTGCTGACAGTGAGTAACAAGTCCTTGACTCAAGGTCTTACAAATGCATCTGTCAGCCAACATGCCAATTTATCCTGTTGTAAATGTGATGGGAGAAACTACTCATTCCTTCTGTCACTTCACATAAGCCTTTTGATCGCTCCCTGCATATAGAGGATAGACAGACTCAAAGAACTGAGCCAGCTGCGGGTGGGGAACTGGATGATGGAGCTGCCTTTTAAGACCAAAGCTTTCCTCTAGAAGACGAAGCTCCTTGAAATCCTGGTGCAAGTGGGATGAAGGAAGAGGAGGAAAGCTGGGCTGATGTGCAGTAGTGATGGTGTCAAAGCATGGAGGGGGGTGGATAATAAACAACAATAAGGTCTGGTGGCTAATCAATATGTGAGGCAGAGCCCATTCAGTGCATCTCGGGTGGGCAGAAGAAGTGGGAATATCAAGAGGCTGCGCATGTCTTGATGAAACCCCACCATGTCTCTTTCCTGCTGTGAGTACATGCAATGTTGTAATGGGCTTGGGAATCAAGTATTTCAAAAGAACATGCTGAGCATTTTGTGGCTCCTCTGCAAGCCCTCAGTATTTCTTTCTTTTATCTTCCACTTGGCTCTCTTACCCCCACACAGGGCGCAGCAAATCTGGCCAATTACAGTAATCTTGTATGGGAAGCACACACTCAGGTATGTGAATGAAGTGTATGCCTGAGTTTATGTGGGTGGGTGTGCACACATGCATGTACGCATTTTCAGTAGATTCTTACCTTGAACAGGCCATGCTTGTGACTGTGCTGGCCTAGCCACACACCACTGCCTGGGGTGAGCTCCATCTGAGGAGGGTCTATCACCCGCTCATAAATCCTGCCAACAACAAATCAGAAGAGAATGTTTGGTTATGATAATGACACAAACACATTTCTCTTTTGTTCTGGCTAGGCAGGAACACTGATCCAATACAGCTGAATACCAGAATAAATCCAACACACTGTGTGCATGTTCAAGATTTCCCTCCCTCCCTTCTTCCGTCTCCCTTCATAAAAAGTAGAGTGCGTAGAGTGTAGAGGCTGCTCTCCTCAAGCATGACAGTCAGTCTCGCCCCACAGCTCTCTAACACGGGATTGATATCTGGACTTCGGATGTAGGCTGGATTAACTGCCCAACTCCTGACACAGACACAAACAGGCTTTGGCATTATCAAGGCAAACATCCTCAGCGTCGTTCAGCAGCATTTTTCCCACGCTGAGGTGGGTTTAACGATCCGATGAGCCTCTGTGAGGATGTCAGGGAACAATTTGTCAGGTTTTGCCCTCCTCTTCACACTAGGAGCCTATGTAGAGAGACACTCAGAGCAGCAAGCTGCTTTCTCTCTTTGTCTCTATTTCAGTTTCACTGAAAGGGCACTGCAGTAATTTAGTACTCTTTTTGATCTCTGTGACAGAAGAATTGCAACTAAAGTAATAGTCCCTATGTTGAGGAATCATCAAAGTGAAGAGGAGATACATCTTATTAGTGAGTAGAGGACAGAAAGTGAAATGTGTGAGCTAGAAAGGTCAGCAGCTGAGCAACCGATTGGCCTTATATGACTGTAAAAATCCCCTGCATAGAAATCACAGTCATTTGTATGCTGTTAGCTGTACTTTAAGTTCTATTAAGCAGTATTTTTGTTATTCTGTTAATCTGCACTAGTAAGTGCAACTTTCAAAGGCTCTGTCAGCTTGTGGTTTTGAGTTGTCTGTACATACGCTTCACTGCTAATGACTTTTTCCAAAACCCCATAAGACCACAGGCAGTTTAAACAAGCTACTTTCAGTGCACAATGTAGAGGTAAGACATTTATCAAGAAAACAACACAGGGGTAAACCATGACTTTAATTGCTGTCAAAATTAACATTTGACATTTAGAGGAAAGAAGGTAGGCTCCTTTGCGATGCCCATTTTACTCTGCATCTGCTGCATGCCGAAGATACATGCACTAAATGTTTGCTAACATGGTAGCCATACGAGTTTGATAGATATATATATATTTTTTTTTCCATATATATTCGCATAAGCTCTACAACACACCAAAAATATGATCTGGATCCAATATTCTGGATTGAATGTTCAAATATTTAGGCCTCACAGAAGACTTGCTACTGTGAGACAACAAATGATGCTGCACACTTGCAAGTAAGATCAAATCCTAGCTGAAACTCTGCTGATTCACCATGGTGTCAGCAGATTTTACATTTCTTGGAATGTTCCTGAGCTACATCCCAAAAAAAAGGTTTGCATCCTTTGAATGTTGTCTAGTTTTAATCCTTTAACTTGCCATTTTAAAAGTCAAGTTTGTTCATTTAAAAATATGTGCATATGTTGGCCTGTACACATGTGTAAACACTCTAGTGTCTCAATGCTGTCTATGGTGTAGCTACCCAATTTCCACCTGCTGAGCTGCGAACTGTCACTGCAGTAGGAAATGCAGGAGGTTATATTCTATTTTGTCTCACCCCCAACCTTTATGTCTTTGCTTCCCTCACCTTCCCCCCCTTGACAGCAGCTCAGCAGCGAATGCTGAGAGTGGCAATGCTAATTAGAATAGCAATGTGCTCAGGGGCATATTTGCATGCTCTGACACCACCGGCTGCAGCCATCAACAGCTAATTATAGAGGACATATACCAGCTAACATACTGTATCGTGTGATTAACATTTCTCCTCTATCACTGTGGTGCAGGATTCAGTGAGTATTAGCTACAGTTTACAACCCAGAGAATAGAGGGGAATGTGAATAAATGCAATGAATGTGCTGAGCAATGTATGATGATAATCATAAAAAATGAATACTTGCATAACGGAGTGATATCTAACCATGCAGATAGCTATGGTCTAATTTGTCTGGGTTTTCAGGGCTCCAGCCCCGTACAATGAAGTTGTTTTTGTTGACGTTTGTAATCTGGGTAAACTGAACCTTTTAAAGTCATCATATAAAAGGTTCAGTTTAACTTCTTGTGTAATAATCATTCAATATGTTTACATATGGCAATAATCTCTCTTTTAAATATGATGTAGCACACAATCCAGTGTTATTGTTTATAATTTCTTCTCCCCGATATCTGTTTAGTGTTCTCTTTCCTATGGACATATTCTGCTAATGCAAACTGAACATTACCTACGGTACAGTAAATGCTAGTTCATATTTAAAGCATCCAACTGAGAAAATAATCTGTTTCTTTCAGCCAAGCTGAGATCTCTGATCCCAAAAATATTTTAGATAATCATGCAGTAAACTGCTTCAAAATACATGACCTCATGTTATAGCAGGTGTTTTGATGACAAAGGTAGAGTTTCCCTGATCATGTTTCTACCTGCAGTCATTGTTTTCACATTCCAGCAACAGAGTTCTCGTTAAACTTTCCCACCCTTCCTTAAACTTACAGTGGTGTGAAAACGTGTTTGCCCCCTTACTGATTTCTTATCTTTTTGCATGTTTGTCATACTGTAATGTTTCAGATCATCAAACAAATTTAAATATTAGTCAACGATAACACAAGTAAACACATCATGCAGTTTTTAAATGAAGGTTTTTATTATTAAGGGAAAACAAAATCCAAAACTACAAAGCCCTGTGTGAATAAGTGTTTGCCCCCTAAACCTAATAACTGGTTGGGCCACCCTTAGCAGCAACAACTGCAATCAAGCGTTTTCGATAACTTGCCATGAGTCTTTTACAGCGCTGTGGAGGAATTTTGGCCCACTCATCTTTGCAGAATTGTTGTAAGTCAGCCACATTGGAGGGTTTTCGGGCATGAACTGCCTTTTTAAGGTCATGCCACAGCATCTCAATTGGATTCAGGTCAGGACTTTGACTAGGCCACTCCAAAGTCTTCATTTTGTTTTTCTTCAGCCATTCAGAAGTGGACTTGCTGGTGTGCTTTGGATCATTGTCCTGCTGCAGAACCCAAGTTCGCTTCAGCTTGAGGTCACAAACGGATGGCCGGACATTCTCCTTCAGGATATTTTGGTACACAGCAGAATTCATGGTTCCATTTATCACAGCAAGTCTTCCAGGGCCTGAAGCAGCAAAACAGCCCCAGACCATCACACTACCACCACCATATTTTACTGTTGGTATGATGTTCTTTTTCTGAAATGCGGTGTTACTTTTACGCCACACATAATGGGACACACACCTTCCAAAAAGTTCAACTTTTGTCTCGTCTGTCCACAGAGTATTATCCCAAAAGTCTTGGGGATCATCAAGATGTTTTCTGGCAAAACTGAGACGAGCCTTTATGTTCTTTTTGCTCAGCAGTGGTTTTCGTCTTGGAACTCTGCCATGCAAACCATTTTTGCCCAGTCTCTTTCTTATGGTGGGGTCATGAACACTCACCTTAACTGAGGCAAGTGAGGCCTGCAGTTCTTTGGATGTTGTTGTGGGGTCTTTTGTGACCTCTTGGATGAGTTGTCGCTGCGCTCTTGGGGTAATTTTGGTCGGCCGGCCACTCCTGGGAAGGTTCTCCACTGTTCCATGTTTTCGCCATTTGTGGATAATGGCTCTCACTGTGGTTCGCTGCCGTCCCAAAGCTTTAGAAATGGCTTTATAACCTTTTCCGGACTGATAGAGCTCCATTATTGTCTTTCTCATTTGTTTTTGAATTTCTTTGGATCTCGGCATGATGTCTAGCTTTTGAGGATCTTTTGGTCTACTTCACTTTGTCAGGCAGGTCCTATTTAAGTGATTTCTTGATTGCGAACAGGTGTGGCAGTAATCAGGCCTGGGTGTGGCTAGAGAAATTGAACTCAGGGGCGATAAACCAGTGTTCTGACAGGGGGGCCAACACTTGTTCACACAGGGCTATATAGTTTTGGATTTTGTTTTCCCTTAATAATAAAAACCTTCATTTAAAAACTGCATGATGTGTTTACTTGTGTTATCTTTGACTAATATATAAATTTGTTTGACGATCTGAAACATTACAGTGTGACAAACATGCAAAAAGATAAGAAATCAGTAAGGGGGCAAACACTTTTTCACACCACTGTAAATGTATTTGTCATAAGCAAGTGGGACCAATTCAACTGTACTCACAATAAATGTATTTGTCATAAGCAATAATGTCTACAAACAAGACAAGATTCATTTTTGCATTTTTAATAGGCATGTTTCAATTCAGTCACAGTGAAGTGAAGATGAAAAGCTGCAGATAATTCAACAAGGTAAACATCTCCACCATGCCCATGTGCAGCATAAAAATCAATTTGTAGTTGCTCTTGGCATGATGGGGAAAAGCAAATTATTTACTGACATCTTTATTAACACAATATGAGATCATCCCTTGGCATCTATTGTGTATTACAAAGGGAATGGTAATCAGTTCTCTTGGACATGGAGTGGCTTGCAGGGATTACATAATACACTGGAGCCAGATGACGCAGACCCATCACTTCATCCATAACCAGTAAAATAGGACAGCACTGCTCCACTTTTACACTGCTCCTCTTAACCTTTATTAGTCTCTGTGTGTCTGTGGATGCGAGTGAGAGAGAGACCCACATCTCGATACAGAAAAGCCAGGCAGCTGTGGAGTGACTCGGCCATCATTCATTGTGAATGGTGAGGCTGAAGCAAAGAGAAAACCCTGAGATTGGGAAGGTGCTGCATTATGAACAGCTAGAGCGGTTGAAGCATTGCGAGGCGGAGACTGTATAAATCCACATCTTGCTACATAACACACATTTTGTTGACGGTCCACTTCAATAAGCTGTCAGGGTGCCTCGTTCCCACATATTTGCCCGAATGAACTGAATAAACTACATTTAATCTTGGGGAGTCAGGATTTCAGTGATATTGGCTGGCTGGTTCCTGAGCTCATCTTTAAG